CCCTATCAAAATCCCAATGGTCTTTTTTGCAGAAATAGAAAAATGCATCCTAAAATTCATTTGGAATTTCAAGGGACCCTGAACAGCCAAAATAATAGTGAAAAAGAACCAAGTTTGAAGTCTCACACTTTCTGATTTCAAAACTTATTATAAAGCTAGAGTAATCAAAATAGTGTGGTACTGACATAAAGACAGACGTACAGAACAATGGAATAGAATAGAAGACCAGAAGTAAACCTTCACATATACGGTCAAGTGATTTTCAACAAGGATGCCAACACCATTCAATGAAGGAAAGGTGTCACTGTCTCTTCAATAAACAGTGCTAGGAAAACTAGATATCCACATGTGAAAGAATTAAGGTGAACCCTTACCTTACATCATACACAAAAACGAACTCAAAATAATTTCAAGGCCTAAAACATTAGACCTAACGCTATAAAAACCCCTAGAAAAAAACACAGGGGAAAAAGCTTCATGACATTGGGTCTGGCAATGATTTATTGAATATGACATCAAAAGCACAGGCAACAAAAGTAAAAATAGATAAACTGTCGTGCATCAAAGGGCACAATCAACACAGTGAAAAGACAACCTACAGAATGGGAGAAAATTTGTAAATCATATATATAAGAGGTTAATACCTAGAATATATAAGGAATTCTTACAATTCAATAACAAAAAAATAACCCAATTAAAATATGAGCAAAATCAAGAGAATGAGAAGCCACAGACTAACAGAAAATATTTGCAAAGATGTATCCAACAAAAGGACTGTTATCCAAAATATACAAAGAACTCTTCAAACTCAACAATAAGAAAATGAACGACTCACTTAAAAAGCAGGCAAAAGACCTGAACAGACACCTCACTGAATGAAATATACAGATAGCAAATATCATACGAAAAGATGCTCAGCATCATATGCCATCAGGGAAATGCAAATTAAAACAATGAGATACCACTACACACCTATTAGAATGGCCAAAATCCAAAACCTGACACCACCAAATGCTGACAAGAACATCAGGCAACAGGAACTCTTCATTCATCGCTGGTGGAATGCAAAATGGTATAGCTACTTTGGAAGACAGTTTAACAGTTTCTTACAAATCTAAACACACTCTCACCATACAATCCAGCAATTGTACTCCTTCGCATTTATCCAAATGAGTTGAAAACTTATGACTACACAAAAATCTACACACGGATGTTTTACGTAGTAACTTTAACCGTAACTGCCAAAACTTGGAAACAACCAAGATGTCCTTTAGTAGGTGAAGGAGTAAACTGAAGTACATGCAGACCATGGAATATTATTCAGTGTTAAAAAGAAATAAGCTATCAAGCCATGAAAAGATATGGAGAAATCTTAAATGCACATTACTAAGTAAAAGAAATCAATCTGAAAAGGCTATATACTGTATGATTCCAACGATCTGACATTCCGGAAAAGGTAAAACCATGGAGACAGTAAAAAGATCAGTGGTTACCACAGGCTGGTGGGAGGGAAGGATGAATAGGCAGAGCACAGAGAGGTTTTTAGGCAATGAAACTATTCCATATGACACTATAATGGTGGATCTATGTCATTACATATTTGTCAAAACCCACTGGATGTACAACACCAAGAGTGAACTCTAATATAAACTATGGACTTTGGGTGATAATGATGTGTCAACTTAGGCTCATGGATTATAACAAAGTGGGAAAGGTTATGTATGGGTAGGGACAGATTATGTAGGAACTCTCTACTTCCCACTCATTTTGCTGTGAACTTAAAATTGCTTAAAAAAAATAAAGTCCAATAAAATAAGGGCAAAGAACTTAAATAACATTTCTACAAAGAAGATACAAATGGCCCATAAGTATATGAAAAGATGCTGAACATCACTGATTATTAGGGAAATGCAAAGCAAAACCACAATGAGATATCACCTCACACCCATTCGGATGGCTACTTTCAGAGAAACAGGGAAACGAACAAGTGTCAGTGAGAATGCAGAGAAATTAGAACACTTGTGCAATGTTGGTTAGAATATAAAATGGTGCTGTCGCTATGTAAAACAGTATGGTGATTCCCAAAACACTAAAAATACAATTACCATATTGTGAGATGATAGAAAACATATATTGGTCTCTGCCCCAGGTTCCTGGCACAGAGCTCTTGAAACCCTTGTAGTTTCCTAACTGATAAGAGCACTAAGAGCATCTTTCGGTCTAATATTTGGTCTTTCACCCGAGTTCCTGACACAGGGTTCCTGAAACCCTTATAATTTCCTGGGTGATAGATGTGTCTTTTGTCCTACTGAGGTGACGCTACGTGAGCTCTTGGATGAGGGCTGGTCACCAGAAAGAACAAGCCATAAGCAAGCTTGGAATTTTCAGCCCTGCTGAAGCAGGAGGAAGGAAAAAGGTTGAAAATGGAGTTAACAATTGATCATGCCTAAGTGAGGAAGCCTCCATAAAACATTATCAGTAGGTGTTTGGAGAGCTTCCAGGTTGGTGAACACATCCACATACTGGAAGGGTAACGCACCTAAACTTTATGGGGACAGAAGCTCCTGTGCTTGGTACCCCCCCAGACCTCCCACTACATCTCTCTTCATCTGGCTGTTTATCTGTATCTTTTAATAAACTGGTAAATATAAATGTTTCCTTGAGTTCTGTGAGCTGCTCTGGTAAATTTAATCAAACCCAACATGCGAACCTTCGATTTATAGCCAAGTCTGACAAGTTATGGGGTGGGGGGGACCTGGGGACCTATTACTTACAACTGCATCTGAAGTGGGGTGGGAGCAGTCTTATGGGACTGAGACCTTAACCTGTGGGATCTGATACTATCCACTGGGAGGTAGCGTCAGAATTGAGTTCAATTATAGGACACAGAGCTGGTGTCATGGAGAACTGTTTGATGTGGAAAAAAATCCCACACTTTTGGTGATCACAAGTATCAAAACTGAAGTGTTCTGTGTGAGCAGTAAAGGAGAAACAAAGGAGGAAGAACTGGGTTCTTTCCCTATTCAGGAGGGAAAAAGAGGTTTTTCACTAAAACACATATGATCCAGCAATTCCACTTCTGGGTATACAGACAAAACAAAACTGAAAGCAGGATCCCAAGGGGTTATTGTACACACAGGTTTTTAGCAGCATGATTCATAGTGAGGTGAAAGCTATCCAGGTGTCTACAAGTAGATAAACAGATAAACAAAATGTGGTTTTGTCACACAATGGAAAATTATTCAGCCTTAAAAAGGAAAGTCTGACACATGCTACAAAATGGATACACTCTGGGGCACCTGGATGGCTCAGTCTGTTAAGTGTCAGACTCTTGATTTTGACTAGGCTCATGATCTCAGGGTTGTGAAATCCAGCCCCAAGAAGAGCTCAGTGCTGGGCATGGAGTCTGGTTAAGGTTCTCTCCCCCGCCCCCCCGCCCCTCCCCAGCCTCCCTCTCTAAAAAAAAATGGATACAACCTAAAAACATGCTAATTGAAATAAACCAGTCACAAAAAGCCACATACTGTATAATTCCACTTATGAGGTATCTAGTGAAGCCAAATTCATAAAGCAGAAAGTAAAATGGTCATTGCCAGGCACTGGGAGAGGGGAAAACAGGGAGTTCCTTGATGGTACAGAATTTGAGGTTTACAGGATTAAAAAGTCCTGGAGACTGGTTGCACAACAACTTGATTATCTTAACACTACTGAACTGTACACTTAAATATGGTTAAGATGGTACATTTTTAATGAAATGTGTGTTTCACCACAATTAAAAATTTAATTTAAAAAACTATGTTCATTTGCCAAAATCACTCCAAAATTCAATTCCAGAAATATAGATGTTAGGGATCAAGATTCTTAGTGCATCAGATCTTCATAATTCCTTTTCTAGAACAAGTTCCAGCCACAGGGATAGGATGAAAATATGGGACAACTTCTGTATCAACTGTCTGAACTAGAACGGACAATGAATTCCACTCACATGAAACTAAGCTTTTTATATTTTCTAAGCATTTTAAATTCAGTAAATACTGCAGAACTTAAAACTTAACATTGCATTTTGATTGACCTCTAAAGCTTCCATTTCCAGCAACTGCCTCAATTAATACTCAAACTTATGTTGAGTTCCTGGTCTTGCGAGACACTAAATAGTGAACAAGAACAGATATGGTCCCTGTCCTCACAGATCCTACAATCCAGCAAAGGGGACAGACAAGTAAACAGAAACCTGAAACGCGACCACACCCCCTACGCCAAAAACATGCAAGCAAATAACTGCATTCAGGTGTACATCACAATAATCACATAATAAACTTCTTTTCAACTTAAAAAGTAACCCTTGATTTCTTTTAATACAAAGATGGCAAATTAAGGCTGCCGAGGTTTCCATGTCCCTTCCTACGCGGAGGAGGCAGGATGAAAGTGGGAGGAGCTCCAGTTCAGGTTCCCGAACAGAGCGCACAGCTATGGGGCCACCACGCCTCCCCAGAGCCGCGCTCTCCCTGGGAGCCTCCGCGGAGCCGAGGGAGCTCTTGTCCCCACTCCCGGGGGAGGGCACTCTTCCGCGAAGCCCGGGGCGCGGGGGCGGGGAGCGGGAAGCGGGGCTTTCCTCTGAACCCCTGGGGACCCGCGCTCCGCCTGCGAGCCGGGCCCGGGGAGGAGCTGCCGGAGGAAGCCGAAAGCCACCCCCAGAGGCCGACAGCGCAGCAGGCTCGGCGCCGGGCGGCCCGCGGGGACGGGGAGCGGGAACGTACCCAGTCGGATGTGCACACTGGCGGAGGCCACGCAGCTGCCATAGTTGAAATCGTCCTCGATGGAGGAGCAGGGGTAGCGGGAGTCGGGGTCGGCCATGTCGGCAGCAGCACCCCAGCGACCTCGCCGAGCTAGGGAAACGACGCAGGCTCAACGGCCTTCAACCCACTTCCGGAGTGAAGCGATCCAGCCCCAACTAGCCGAGCGCAGCCCGCGCTCATCGATGCGCTCACCCCAGCGCTCAGTTAGGCTGAGAGGGAGGAGGTTGCTGCAGGTTGGGGCGGGAGAGGAAATGAATTACGTTCTCTGCGTCATCTAAAGTGAAACTTCTCAGATTTTTCCTCAACAAGCTTTTTAAATCCTCTGACCTGGAGAGTTGCTGAAAGTGATAGAAGCGAAGTCCCATCCATCCGTCCTTTCAACAAATACCCATCTCGTTCACATAATCCTTCAATAATCACACGGGAGATTCACTTTTAATTATTTTTAATATTAATAATATTCCCTAAATTTCTCGAGCACTTTCTATAAACCAGGCTTTCGGAAGGAGATAATGCCCCATGAGCACAGAAGACAAGCGCCAACCAGAGAAGACTGGAGTGATGCAGGTAGGTTCAGAGGGGGGCAAAGCTCAGTTAAGGTAAGATAGAGATGACAAAGAATGAGACTGGATAGATAAACAAAGGTAGGTCACTGTGTGCCAGATGTAGAATACATTGGAGAGTGGCATGACCAAAGGCAGGGAAGAGGGAATATCGTTTTAATCTAAAAGAAATGATGGTGGCAAATACAATGGATCAGAGTGAATACTCATAGTTTTGCTGTCAATACAAATATGAGGTGTAGATATGCCCAGAGTAATATCATCCTAGGATTCCTTGGAATTTTTTGATGAGTTTACTTTGACCCACCCACATATGCCTAGTCCCCACCTTAACCATAACACTCGAAAAGACTTAATAAGTGGAGCTCAGAATAGCTGTGGAACTGTCTATTATGAAACTAAATCCTTAAACTTGATGTTGTTGGAAGCTTTGGTCAAAAGAACTAAACTCACTTCCATAAAGATGAGCAGAAAAACCTTACCTTTTATGATTTTCATTTTATAAGCATATTACTCATTTTAATATAAAATCATAAAGGGAGTTGTTAAATAGGACAAACTGGAGTTGAGCTGCAAATCCATGTTTTTATTGACCAAAAACAGCATTAGGAAAGTTTGATCCCCTACCTCTTACCAATTACATAAAATAAATTCCAGACGGATTGTAGATCTAAATGTGAAAGACAAAGCAATAAAACTTTAAGAAGATAATAGTAGAATATCTTTATGATTTGGAGAAAAGCAAAGATTTCTGAAACCAGATACAAACTAGCAGTTAACTTCAAAGGAAAATATTGACAAATTAAACTATATTAAAAATTTGAACTAGTAATCAGATATTTATAAGAGTGAAAATCAAGTCATAGAATGGGTGAAGGCATTATGTAATCTACATAATACTCCTTCCCAGAATATAAAAACAATTGTTACAAATCAAGAAGAAAAAGAAGAGAAATAGGCAGCCAATAGAAAAATGGGCAAAAGGCTCAAACAAGAACACCACACACACACATACACACATGCACACACACACACACCCCAAATGGCTTAAAAAACTTAAAAAGGTGCTTACCCTCGTTAATGATCAGAGAAATGCAAATAAATGCCACAATGAGGTATCTCTACACAGATGGCTAAAATTAAGAGGTTGACAATTCCAAATATTGAAAAGTCTGTGGATTAACTGGGACTCAAACTAGAGCTGGCTTCATTGACATGTAACCTGGGAAATTGCACAGGGCCTTGCTCTCAAAAGGAACTTGCACTTGGTTTAATGCTCAGTTGTCACCATTTTGAAATGTTTAATAATTTTGCGTTTCAACTTGTGTTTTATGAGTGAAAGCACAGTGGAGCATGACCATGAGCAGAAGAGGTTTACACAATATGTGAGTGTCCATTCTTCTTTGTCAACCACTTGCATTTAGCATTCAAGATGCCCCATGTGCACAGGATTCTATTGGACCTACAATGCACAGGAGTTAGAGTAGACTCAAAACCAGTACAAGGTAAGTGTGTTACACCTACAGCTTAGTAAAGGAAAGGGGTGGGAGGGCATAGACAGTGCCAAGGGCCATTTTACCAATCTTTCTTTACCAATCAGAACTTACTGTGAATGCAAAAATAAGGCAGTGGTGTTCTAAGAAGCATGAATGTCCAAGGAATCCTATCATATCCTTTTTAACTTCTGTCAGTTCCCAATATTAGCCAATCACTAACACTAAAAATGAAGCTATTGAAGGAAAGGGAAAGAGGGGCAACCATAGTTTCTTTTCCTGTTCATCCTTATCAGTAAGCTAAAGGTAGAGAGTGTTAGTAGAATGTGCACATCTCAAGAAGTGAAATAAAAATATTTTGAGTTAGTTGCATATGCAGCTGTTCCACAGTTCTAGTAAGAATGAAATGTATATGTATATACAGGCTATGAAATACAAACTGTGTAATTTTGGTGATCCACATATGAGTTCATTTAAAACTGGTATTGCATGATATAAAGATCAACGATAAAATTTGTACCAGTAATTTTAAGTGACATTTTTCCTTTACTTAAAGGGCATTAAATAGCAAGTAAAAAATCATGGCAAGAGACTACAAAAGAAATGAGAGCTTTGGGAAGATTATAAATGGCTTCACAGAGTGTTTTAGTTTGCTAGGACTGCTGTAATAAATTAGCACAAACTGGTGACTTAAAACAACAGAAATTTCTTCATTTACAGTTCTGGAGGCCACAAGTCTGAAATGAAGTTATCAGAGGGGTTAGTTCCTTATAGAGGTTCTCAGGAATAATCTGTCCCATGCCTCTCTAAGTGGCTTCTGGTGTTGGCAATCCTTGGATTTCCCTGGCCTATGACTGCATCACTCCAATCTCTGCCATCATCATCACCAGGCCTTCTTTCCTCTGTATTTTTGTGTCCAAGTTTCCCTCTTCTTATAAGGACACCAGTCCTATTCTAGGATGGCCTCATCTTAACTTGATTACCTCTGCAAAGACTTTACAGACATACCTCATATTATTGTACTTCACTTATTACGCTTTGAAGATACTGTGTTTTTTACAAATGGAAGGTTTATGGCAGCCCTGCATTGAGCAAGTCTATTGGCATCATTTTTCCAGTAGCATTTTCTCACTTCTCATGTGTCTGTCACATTTTGATAATTTTCACAATATTTCAAACTTTTTCACTATTGTAATGTTTTTTACGGTGATCTGCACAGTGAGTACTACCTGTGAAAGCTCAGATGATGGTTAGTTTTTTTTAGCAATATATTTTTTTTGTAATCATTATAATGATAATTTATTCAGACAAGAATGAATCATCCATGACTACTAAAATGATTGGGTAAAAAATTGCTGAGGACAGGGGCCCCTGGGTGGCTCAGTCGGTTAAGCGGCTGCCTTCGGCTCAGGTCATGATCCCAGGGTCCCGGGATCGAGCCCTGCATCGGGCTCCCTGCTCAGTGGGAAGCCTGCTTCTCCCTCTCCCACTCTCCCTACTTGTGTTCCCTCTCTCGCTGTCTCTCTCTGTCAAATAAATAAATAAAATCTTTAAAAAAAAAAATTGCTGAGGACAAAGATATTTAAATAGGTAAACAAGTGGCAGTAAGGGATATACTGTTTTTCTAGACATGATGTTATTGCACACTTAATACACTACAGTATAATGTAATACAGTATAAACTTTTATATGCTTTGGAAACCAAAAAATTTGACTCACTTTATTGCGATATTCGCTTTATTGCAGTGATCTGGAACCAAATCTGCAATATGTTCCATGTATGCGTATATTTCCAATTGAGGTCACATTCAAAGGCATCAGTGGTTAAGACTTAAATGTATATCATGGGAACCCACAAGTCAACCTACATCACAGAGGTGGTGAATTTTCAATAGGATCTTGAAAGATAATTAGGGGTTCATCAGGTAGGAGATGCTGAAAAAATCCAAACATGAAATAACTAGTTCAGACAAATTGGAAAAGGCCCAGACACTCATGAGAGACATTACAGAAGAGTAACAGTTGGTGACTAATCGAAAATAAGCACCACCCAGCATAATATCTGACATAGCAGGTGCTCAGTAAATCCTTCTGACTATATCAATCGATCAGTCAATCAAAATTACTAAGAGTTCTTTTGGCTCCTGCAACCAGACACAAGCTGATTTTCTAGGAAGTGATCAGTTCAGGGCATGCTGAATTGAGATGAAAGAAAGAAATTGAGATGAAATTGTTCAGTAAACGCTGGAGGCGGGAGTGAGGGACTCTGTGGGGCAGGTGAGGGCTGAGGACACAAATATGAGAGTGGTCCACATAGAGATAATAGATGAAGAATGAGATTATATGAAATCTTCAAGACCTGGAATAAAAAGATCAACAGAATTCAGCCCGTGGGTGCACAGTACAAGCCAAAGGAAGAGTCAGTTGGGAAAACAGAAGAAACAATCAGTAATGTAAGTAGAAAACACTGAGTATTGTCATAAGAGATCAAAAAAAAAAAAAGGCAAAAATTCACAAAAGATGGGGTGATGAGGGACTAATGGTATGAAACTGTCAGAATAAGCCCTGAGGAGGCGCCTGGGTGGCTCAGTCATTAAGCATCTGCATTTGGCTCAGGTCATGATCCCAGGGTCCTTGGATCGAGCCCCACATCGGGCTCCCTGCTTCGCTGGGAGCCTGCTTCTCCCTCTTCCACTCCCCCTGCTTGGGTTCCCTCTCTCGCTGTATCTCTCTCTTACCAAATAAATAAATAAAATCTTTTTTTAAAAAAAAAAGAATAAGCCCTGAGGAAAGGCCATTTTATCAGAAGTTACTGATATTTTTCATCCAAATATGCCGGATATTTTCATACCCGGACTTATTGCCTTCATTATCAAGGCACCAGATTAGATATCCAAGCTTTTATTTTTCTTTCAAAATTTCAGAACAATGAAACAAATCCAGTACAGAACAAGAGGAACTATGACCACTATGAAAGGCCAGAAGATATGGATAACTAATTATCAAGTGTTGTTAGAATGTGTACTCTGAAACCCAATGATGTGACATTATTTCTTGAACTTCTGTGCAGAGGGTTTGTTATGGACTGAATGTGTGCCCCCATTTATATGTTGAAGCCCTAACGCCCATTGTGGCTGAATCTGAAGAAGGGGCTTGTAAGGAGTTCATTAAGGTTAAATCAGGTCATAAGGGTAGGGCCCTGATCAGATAGGATCAGTGTCCTTATAAGAAGAGACACCAGAATGCTGGTGTGCTCTCTCTCTCTCTCTCTCTCTCTCTCTCTCTCTCATTCTGTCTTTGAATGTGTGTGCACGCACCCAGGAAAGGCCATCTACAAGCCAGAAGAGAGCTTTTACCAGAAACAACCTTGTGGACACCTTGATCTTGGGATTTGTAGCCTCCAGCGCTGTGAAAAAATAAATTTTTCTTATTGAAACCATGCAGTCTGTGGTATTTTTAATGCTAGCCTGAATAGACTCATACAGGATTTATTTCGGGGATTTACTAAATAACAAGGAAAAGAGAGCCAAATCCTTGAGAGGGAAAATGCACAGGATTTGTGCTTATAACTTGACAAGGAAATTTGGAAATCTTGAATGAGATTTTTTTGCGTGTATTTCTCCAACAAACATTGCATCCAGAGTTCACATAGCCAGCAGCAGTTTTGCCATCTGTAAAATGCAGTAGTTGGATTAGGATCTATAAGCCATTTTCCATTATCAAATTGCAAACAGTCTGAGTAGAGTCTTGACTGCAAAAGAAAAAATTGTGCCATAATCTCAGATTTATTTCACATGTTTGGGGTGCTTCTAGAGATAAATAAATGCTTCAAAATGGAGCTTTAGCTAATATTGAAATTATCGTGAAAAGCCCTTGACTAAAAACTATTCAATTATAAAACTCAGATTTTAGAAGTCAGTGGTGACTAGGCAAAAGTTATTATAGCAACACACTCCAGAGTGAAAAATACTGTGAAAACGATTTTATTTATTTATTTTTAATTTTCTTTTAAAGATTTTTTTATTTATTTGAGAGCAAGCGAGAGAGTCAGAGAGAGAGAGAATGAGCAGGGGGGAGGGGCAGAGGGAGAGGGAGAAGCAGGCTCCCGGATGAGCAGGGATGCCAGGACACTGGGATCATGACCCGAGTTGAAGGCAGATGCTTAACCCACTGAGCCACCCAGACGCCCCTGTGAAAATGATTTTAAAAGAAAATGGTGAAATAAGACAAAGCATGAAAATGTTGAAAGAAATATAGTTGAGGGTTTTCTTTTTTCTTTTTTTTTTTTTTTTAAAGATTTTATTCATTTATTCATGAGAGACACAGAGAGAGAGGCAGAGGGAGAAGCAGGCTCCCAAGGAGCAGGGAGCCCGATGCGGGACTCGATCCCAGGACCCTGAGATCATGACCTGAGCCGAAGGCAGACGCCCAACCATCTGAGCCACCCAGGTGCCCTAGTTGAGGGTTTTCTAATAGAGACAATACATGTTAACTTTAGAAAGTGTGGAAAACACAAAGAAAATAAAATCACCAGTAACCCTTCCATCAACCCTGAAAGGATAATTGTTAAAATCTTAGTATAGATCATGTTGTAAAATAATAGGTTTTTAGAACAATGTTTTTGATATCTTCAATGGGGAAAGGTTGAGTTACAAGACAATGCAAGCCTACTTCTTTACAAATACACACGTATCAGGGGTGCCTGGGTGGTTCAGTCGGTTAAGCATCTGACTCTTGGTTTCAGCTCAGGTCATATCTTATGGGTCATGATCTCATAGGTCCTGGGATTGAGCCTGGTGTCGGGCTCCGTGCTCAGCTGGGAGTCTGCTTGAGATTCTCTCCCTCTGCCCCTCCCCACCTCTCTCAAATAAATCTTTAAAAATACACACACATTGAACTGGAGGAATAATTAATTGCATGTTATGATTATTAGGTCAGTTTTTTCTTTTTAAAAAAATTCTTATTTCAATTCAATTTAATTAACATATACTGTATTATTAGTTTCAGAGGTA